GGGGCGGGTGTGTGTGTGTGTGTGTGTGTGTAAAATACCACCATACGGTCTTGAACTTGACCACTTGTCTACTTTGGCTACATGATATACTGTATGTCCTGTATTTGGCCCCAAGGTGTTCAAATGGCTGTGTAGAACTTCTGATTATCCAACAGGACACACTTAGCCTACAACATAGTGTTGTAAAATTAAAAGTAACGTGTTGTTACAGAGCTGTATTTACACATTTTGTACATTAATACTTGGCAATATATGACCATTTCATTGTGGCGCTCTAATTAAGTGATAAAAAGCAGTTGCAAACGTTTTACAAAATACACATAGGCCTACTCATCTCTGCACCAATAAAACGTTTAACACTTTTGACCTGAGACAGTTTCACGCACTTATCTCCTGTCGCGTGCACGCGCTCTCGAATGCCCAAGGGACATGCCCAGAGTTCGGTGTCACGCGCATTCCAAAGCGTCGCTCAGTCCATTGATGACGTAACAAAAAATGGAACGTTCGTGTGCGCTGCTTTAATTACGTCATACGTGTTAGAATGCACTGAGGTGTGAGTTTTCGCAGTTTTGTCATTCGCAGTTCCTGATACAGAGTTACTTGTCCAAGTGAAAAACTGTTATCATGGCACTGAAAAGAAAACAGAGTTCTAGCGCTCAGGTGTACGATTTCCATCAGAGTACATCCCCAACATCCAGCAGCACTGCGACTGAGAAACATCTGTCCGTTAGTGCTGCTGAGGATAATGAGATGCCAGTGAGAAAGAGGAGGAGGACGGAGAGTTTTCAGAAGCTGCTCGCTCTCACATCCATTAAGTGGAGCAACAGCAGCTCAGACCAGGCATCAATATATGAGAGACACGCTGAGGGTAAAAAAAAAAAAAAAAGACCATTTAAGAATGTGTATTATAAAGTCTGAAAATTTTCATCCATTTCTATGAGTAGCTATTAATGGAATAAACTGATTAGAGGAATTGTTCTGTTCCATAGGATAAAGTGTCATATGTTACATACCAATCCACTCCATCACACATTACATCACAATACAAAAGTCTGATCAAGGCCATAATCATATTTTTACTTCATGACATGTCATACATCTTTAAACACAGATGAAAACAAAAGAACCTCTTTTACAACTGGCCAAAAGAGAAAGCGAAGTTCATCTCCAACATCCAGCACCGATGCGGCTGAGCATCATCTGCCCATTAGTGCTTCTGAGGAATATGAGATGCCTGTGAGAAAGAGGAGGACTGATAGTTTTGAGAAGCTGCTCTCTCTCAAATCCATTAAATGGAGCAACAGCAGCTCAGACCAGGCATCGACACATGAGAGACCTGCTGAAGGTAATATTACCAAATGACCATGTGACAATGTGTAGGCTAACTGTGTTCTGTTTACTAGACCTCTGTACATTAAACAGTCAATATAATTGTCAGTAAGACATGAGTATCCAGAATTTAATTAACTTGGGGAAATTTTCTGTTCCCTAGGTTGAAATGTCATTACAATATGTTGCAACTCTACATCATCATGCATTATATGAAAATCCAAAAATGTGATAAGTTTGAAGTCCTGATAAGATTTTTATTACAGGACATACATTTTTAAAATGAAACATGGTTTGAAGAAGTTCCAATTTTAGATATCTAAAATATATTTAAGAATCTTCATAATATAAGAATGCTATATTTCATTATTATTTGTTTAAAACACGCTTTTGTTTGATATTCCCCTCTTTAGATCATTCCCTACAGTCTATTGCCTGGTCTCAAGAGGATTATAGTCTTCAGGAACCTCTTTCCAGTGGTCTTGAAGTCCTTCCCCCTGCAGATCAGCAGGTTCATAGACCTCCAGCTCCAGTCAGTCCAGAATCAGCTCACAACAGCAGAGTGGACTTGACGACTGAGGGTGAGTTTACTGCCATAAACCCAAACATTACACACACTGCTGTCAGTGCTTGACATTTCATGTCAAATACAATTATTAATCTTATAACAGATGACATTCTGAGTCAGTATGAAATCGGCAGAAAGCTTGGTGAGTGAGGATTTGGCTCCGTCTATGAAGGGAAACGCTTGGAGGATGGCCTTGAGGTATCGTCATTTTCTTACAATATGTAACTGCAATGTTTTGTCTTAATTAGTGCATTTAGTGCACTCGTCATGTTGT